ATGCAAGTCCAACTAGCCTCACAAGATTTGTGGGAGTTAGTGGATCGAGGATATGACGAGCCAGCTACTCTCGAAGATGAAGGAAATTTAAATGAAACTCAGAAGACGACGTTAAAAGATTTAAGGAAGAGAGATAAAAAGGCATTGTATCTACTCTATTAAGGCACTGATGAGTCAAGCTTTTAGAAGATTTCAGCAGCAGCAACAACCTCTAAAGAGGCATGGAGTATTCTTCACAATTCACACCATGGAATTGAGAAGACGATCAGAGTTTGACTCTAGGTGTTATGTGGCAAATTCGAGATGCTGCACATGAATGAGAATGAGTCAATTTCTGAGTATTTCAAAACAACATTGACCATTGTTAATCAGATGAGAAGATATGAAGAGAAGATGGAATCTCTTCAAGTGATAAAGAAGATTCGACGATCACTTAGTCTCAAATTCGAGCACGTAGTTGTAGCAATAGAAGAGTCTAAGGATCTCAGTGCCATGACCACCGATGAGTTGATGGGCTTGAGATTCATGAACAAAAGATCAACAAAAAGACTCCCTCAAGTTCTCTAGAGCAAGCTCTTCAATCAAAGTTGTCTTTCAAAGATGATAGAAATGAGCAAGGGGGGACATCACAAAAAGGCAGAGGAAGAGGTCGTGGTTACAATAACCGAAGTTCTAGTTTTCGAGGAAGAGACAGAAGAGGTCTAGTTGGAGGAGGAAGAAGTCAACCAAACTTTGCTCCAAGAGAAAGAGCAAGAGGAAGAGGAGGTGGTTACAACAACCGACCAGGATTTAACAGAAGCAATGTTCAGTGCTACCATTGCCACAAGTTCGAGCATTACAGCAATGAATACCGACGTAGAGCAACCACAAAAGCTAGAAAGCAAGTAAATTTTGCCGAGCAGGAAACAAAAAAGTCGGACCTACAATCCTGTTTGTCCACCATGGAGATACTGAAAACCAAAACAATGTTTGGTATCTAGATTCGGGAGCCAGTAATCACATGTGTGGTAAAAGAGAGTTGTTCGTCGAGCTTAACAAGACTGTACAAGCACAAGTCTCATTTGGTGATTCTTTATAGACTCCAGTGAAAGGAAGAGGCAATATTCTGATCAAGCTCAAGAATGAAGATCATGATTAAATCTCCAATGTTTATTTTGTTCCTGCCATGAAGAACAACATTTTGAGTATAGGACAACTCCTAGAGAAAGGATACGAAATTAATATGAAAGATTGTCATCTACCATCAAAGACAATCATGGTAATTTGATCGATCGAGTGAGAATATCCAAGAATTAGATGTTTGTATTGAACATCCAACAGGATGCTGCGAAGTGTTTAAGTGCCATCATCAAAGACAAAGACTGGCTATGGCATTTGAGGTTTGGACATCTCAACTTTGGAAGCTTGAAGTTTTTGTCAAACAAGAATATGGTGAAAGAGCTCCTTCATATTGCTTGTACTAATGAAGTATGTGAAAGCTGCATTCTTGGCAAGCATCACAGAACTAGCTTTGCCAAAGAAGTGAAGTGGAGAGCAACAAAGCCGCTAGAGCTAGTGCACATTGATGTGTGTGGTCTATTGAAGCCAATGCCAAAAGGACAGAATAGATATTTTCTCACCTTCATTGATGATTATAGTCAGAAGACATGAGTGTATTTTCTTAAAAGAAAGTCGGAGGTATTCAGTATCTTCTAAGAATTCAAAGCTTTTGTTGAAAAGCAAAGCGGCTACTACATCAAAACATTGCAGTCAGATCAAGTTGGAGAATATACATCTGATGTGTTTGAAAGACTTTGTAAAGAGCGTGGAATCAAGCATCAAACAACACCATCCTATACGCTACAGCTGAATGATGTTGCTGAAAAGAAGAATCGCACAATCTTGGATATGGCAAGAAGTATGTTGAAAGGAAAAGGATTGCCCAAGAAATTTTGGGCTGAAGTTGTATCATGTGCTATGTATCTACTAAATAGATGCCTAACCAGGAGCCTTCACTCTATGACTCCAGAAGAGGCTTGGAGTTCACATAAGCCAAGTGTCAACCATCTCAGAATATTTGGGTGTGTTGCGTACACTAAGATTCCAGAAGCAAGAAGAACCAAGCTCGATCATAAGGGAGAAAAATGTATCCTTGTCGGATATGAAAACAAAACAATGGGATACAAATTGTATAATCCCATTACCATAAAGGTGATCATGAGTAAAGATGTGATATTTGAAGAAGAAGAAGAAGCTTGGAACTAGAATCAAGATGGAGTTTTTAAAGATGCAGAACTCATTCTTGAAGATGAAACATCAAAAGCTCCGGTTGAAATCACAAGAGAAGTTCAAGATGAACCACAAGCTCCTCTACATAGCATACCTACACCTAGATCGCCAGTTTCTCACAGAAGTGATGCATCATCATCATCATCATCAGATGATATTTTTTTCAAACAACCAAGACCAATGAAAAATTTGCAGGAGATATATGAAGCTACAGAAGAAGAAGATCTGAATTTGTTCTGCCTACTCACAGATAGCGATCTACTTATTTTCTCAAAAGCCATCCAAGAAGATAAATGGAAGAAAGCAATGGATGAAGAAATTCATGCCATTGAGAAAAATGACACATGGAAGTTTACCAGTCTACCGGAGGGGAACAAACCCATTGGAGTGAAATGGGTATACAAGACAAAGAGGAATACACAAGGCAAAGTGCAACGCTATAAAGCAAGATTAGTGGCAAAAGGTTACAAGTAGAGAGCTAGAATTGATTATAGAGAGGTATTTGCTCCAGTTACCCGGTTAGAGACTATCAGGCTAATGATTTCTTTGGCTGCCTAGTACAAGTGGCAGATCTATCAACTTGATGTGAAATCTGCATTTTTTAATGGTTTTCTTGAAGAAGAAATCTATATTGAACAACCTTCAAGATATGTTCAAAAGGGGCATGAAGACAAAGTGTATAAATTGAAGAAAGCACTTTATGGATTGAAGCAAGCTCTGCGTGCATGGAATACTAGAATTTATCAGTATTTTCATGACAATGGTTTTGAAAAATGCCCATATGAGCACCCGTTATATTTGAAAAAGGAAGCTGATGGAAACATGTTGTTTGCTTGTCTTTATGTTGATGATCTAATTTTTACTGGAAACAATCCAACCATGTTCAAAGAATTTAAAAGAAGCATGGTTCAAGAATTTGAAATGACAGATATTGGATTGATGGCTCATTTTCTCAACATTGAAGTGGCACAAAGAAAAGATGAAATTTTTATGTCCCAAAGTGGCTATGCCACGAAAATTCTCAAGAGATATGGAATAGAGAATTGCAATCCAGTGAACACTCATGTAGACAGTGAAGTGGAGCTCAAAAAAGGTACAAAGACGGGTAATGTGGATCCAACTTATTTCAAGAGCTTAGTTGGAAGTCTTCGCTATCTTACTTACACCAAGCCAGACATACTCTATGGAGTAGGATTGATTAGCAGTTATATGGAAACATCGGATCAGTCACACCTTTATGCAACAAAGAGAATTCTTTGCTACATCAAAGGTACAATCGATGATGATTTATTCTATGAACCAACTAATAATTTCAATCTTGTTGGCTATTCAGATAGTGACTGGGGATGTGACTTAGATGAACGAAAGAGTACTACTGGGTTTGCTTTCTTTATGAGAAATACAGTGTTCACTTGGTCGTCCAAAAAACAAGCTATTGTGACACTGTTAACTTGCGAAGCTGAGCATGTTGCAGCCAACTCAACTATGTGCCATGCAATTTGGTTAAGAAATGTGTCGAAGCATTTAGGATTTCCACAAGAAAATCCTACTGAGATCTATGTTGATAATCGTTCTGCAATTGCATTAGCAAAGAACTCTGTTTATCATGAAAGAAGTAAGCATATTAACACTAGCTATCATTTCATCCGAGAGCATGTGAAAAATAAAGAGGTGGAATTATTTCTTAGCAAATCTCAAGATCAGCTTGCAGATATTTTCACGAGCTATTGAAAAATGATCTATTCAACAGAATGAAGATGATGCCCGAGATGAAGCAGCATGGAGAATCAAGATTAAGGGAGGATGTTGTAAAGTAATCTTGCTTCACCTATAATAATAAAATAATAATAATAATAAAAAAATATAACAAAATTCCACCGGCTTAAGAGTATAAGTATAGAGGCTGAAATCAAGTTTTTCAATAATGGTTGCAACCATTTGCATTTAATGGTTTTACATTACTAGTTTTATCTATATATAGCTATTGTATTTTGAGAATTCAGAGTGTGGGAGACAAGAAGAAAAGAGTGTAAGAGTTGGGGAAACAAAGAGAGTTCTCACGTCGTTCTGTAATTGTTTTCAGTAATTGATAAAGTTTATTTGTTTGTTTGTCTCCCAAATTTATTTCTCTAAATTTTATTTCAAGCTATTTGTTTGTTTGTCTCCCAAATTTATTTCTCTAAATTTTATTTCAAGCTACCTCACTCCCACCAACAAAATTTGCCACTTTAAGGATAAAGCAAAATAAATTTTGTCATTTTTCATTCACAGTGGGCTTTAATAAATAAAATCCTCAATTCTTTAAAATTACAAGTTAAATTTTTGTAGTTGAACTACAAATAGGGATTGGATGTCTCAAATCCAACACAGTTTAGAAGCAGTGAAAATTCATAGAAGAAATATAGAGTGAGTTTCTTTTATGGAGAGTTGGACATACAAAAATTTGGGTATATTCTTGGGGATTTGAGAGTGTGAGAGACAATTAATTATTGTAAACTTGTTTCCTACATAGTGAAGTATTGTTGTTGTCTTGTTCATGGACGTATAAGTTGAACCACATAAATCATTTATTTGTGCTTGTTTTATTTTCCATTGATTATTTCTGATTATTTGATATCCAAATTATGATCGTTTCATAACAATTAACAAATTAGTTGGCAAACTATCCATTTAGCTAACTATTTAACACACCCATTGGAACAAAGCATATTTATGTTATGTCATTTTTGCAGGCAATAGCACAACTATTGTTATCATTATTGCCACCTCTGTCACTGGCACTGTCACTATTCTTATAGTTCTCTTTACCATCTTTCTCAGAAAGCGAAAGCATAAGAAGCCAACAGAGAAAATTGAGAGTAAGTTCAAAATGAGGTTTTATTTATTTATGCTTTGGTTCATTACAAATTTGACCACTACCAAACCTCACGACGAAGCACCACATACATTCGGGGCAGGGAAACAGTTCCCCATTCAGGTCGGATTTCGGAAGTTCGTACCATTCACCGTTCGGATCCGGATCAGGGATAGTATAGTTTAACTGGATTTGGGCTGAGGTCAGGTCGGTCCCGATGCCATGGACCCTAATTGCCATCTCTATTATTCATAACTAAGATACCAAATCTTTATAATTAGGATGTATAATAAAGCATCACATAATTCATAATTAAGATCACAACGTGGTGTCAACAATTTCAAATTATTATATTAAGGTTGTGTTTGGATTATAAATTTGTAGAAGTAAAAAAGTGTGAAAAAATTAGTTTACATTTTTAATTACTTCCTTCTTTCTTTTTCTTTTCCCTGTACAAGTCTCTAGTCAAATTCATTATCTAAATACTGCGTAAATAGTTGGGTGTAGATACATTATTGTGCTCATCTCTAATAACTTGGGCTAGTAGTATATGATTTACTCAGGTAAGGTTGAAATATATTATTTCATCACTCTCTAAAAAGCTAACGGTAGGTCAGACAAGTCCGACACCATGGAGCTTGGTCGATAAAAAGACCAGCAGATAAATTCTTTATTACATAAAATTACTTCTCAAGAAAAGTGAAGTACATAGACATGCTCACAAGAGCTACAAGATAGACAAAAACATTACTGCTATTTATAAATCCAAATTTGTCATTTTCAAATTCGTTTATTTTTATTTTTTTATTTTTTTTTTTTTGGTGAAGTTACGGATGAAATCAGTGGCGCAGAATCCTTACGATACGATTTTAGTACTGTAAAGGATGCTACAGACAACTTCTCTGATAGTAACAAGCTTGGACAAGGTGGATTTGGGCCTGTTTACAAGGTAAAAGAATATTCTCATAAAAATATTTCAATTAAGTTGTGCCAAATTATAGATTTGAGTCTATTGAGAGAACACACACACACACACATATATATATAACATATATATTTGAATATATTTACAGGGTAAGCTTCCAAATGGACAAGAAATAGCTGTGAAGAGGCTATCCAAAAATTCTGGACAAGGTGAAGTGGAATTTAAGAATGAAGTCTTGTTGGTGGCCAAACTTCAACATAGGAATTTGGTAAGGACTCTAGGTTTCTGCATGGAAGGAACAGAAAGACTTCTCATGTATGAGTTTATGCCTAATGGAAGTCTTGATCATTTCCTATTTGGTAAGATAGCTCTCCATGTTATCTTTCATAGTTTTAAATATCAGCCAATACTAGTATATTGATGAGAAGGAAAATTGTTTTAGCCGATTTCCACACTACAAGAAAAATCACCTTTGGCGACTAAAAGTCGTCAAAAGTCCATTTTTAGTCGCTAATTGCCTGTTTTTAGTTACTAAATTTTTTTTAGTAGCCAAAACGCTTCACTTTCAGCGACCAAACTGTTTTTAGTCGCCAAAACACGTATTATCGGTGACCAAACTGTTTTTTAGTCGCCAAAACCTATACTTTTGGCTACTAAATTATTTTAGTCGCCAAAAACCGTCACTTTTGGCTACTAAAAAACCTTTAGTCGGTAAAACCCATATAATTTGGCTACTAAATTGTTTTAGTCGCCAAAAGTCTTCACTTTCCATTTTAGTGGCCGAAAATGGCACTTTCAGCGACAAAAATAATTTTTTTAGTCGCCATTTCTGCATTTTCTTTTAGTGCCAATACATATCGATGTTTAGAATCAATGCACAACCAATTCACAGTTCATACAACTAGTTTAACTGTTATAAAGCTCTTTTCATGAATGATAAAAATCATAATTTCGTCACCTAATTTTTGTTACGTATCATTCCATACTTCCAATAAAAAACCTTGTTTTCTTCATTGACTTAATTCTGAATACACATCGACCTACATGCATAGAATGGAAGACATATAAATATCATACAGTTATGACCACTTCAGAATGAATCATCTCAAACTTAATTTTCTAAAATAGAGCACAAAACTAAAATTCATGTTGCACATTACTATTTGTAGACCAGTTTATGATTTAGTAGAGCTTTGAGACTAAATTAAGCATTTTATGTAGATCCAAACAAACAAGCATATTTGGATTGGGATATGCGCTACAAAATCATAGGAGGCATCGCTAGGGGACTTCTTTATCTTCATGAAGATTCTCGACTTCGGATCATTCATCGTGATATGAAAGCTAGCAATGTTCTATTAGATGAAAATATGAACCCTAAAATTTCAGATTTTGGAATGGCAAGACTTTTTGTGCTCGATGAAACTCATGGGAATACAAATAAAGTTGTCGGAACCTAGTAAGTATTACCTTCTCCAAAGCAAGTATCAAATAAAATTAAACTTAACCAGGAACTGTGACATAGCGGGAAATGCAAAATAGTAACGATTTTAGAATCCGTTGGTTGAAAACTCAATACCAAAAGTAAGATTTTTCTTTAAATTCGTTGATTCACAAGAAATACCAAAAATGAAGATTCAACAATAGTTTATTCTTAAAGAATACCCAAGGTTGTAAAAAAAAGTATAAAACTCGAAATTATATTAATTCTCTAAAAACTAAAGAGCTCTAAGGTTAAAAATAAGTACAAAGCAAACCTAACCTAGTAGGAAACAATTAGAATTGAGAATTTCGTAATAAGCAATACTTAAATAAGGAAAGATAACGAAAATTACCAAAAATAAAAGTATTGAAATAAAATAAAGAAAATACTAAAATATGCTGGTACAATAATGGCATATTTGACAAAATTAGATTCTAAGTTCTACGCTAGGAGTAATTAGAGTAGCAAATCTTTTCAAAAATGACAAAATCTAAAGATTGACGGCCTGAACAATGAAATTCGCCTAAAATTTACTAGGGTCAATGGATCATGACCAAAATGACATTTTCCATCAATTCACCAAATTCCACACAATTTCAAGTTCGGGCTGTTTGATTTCTACCAATGTTTTTTCCTTTGCCTAATTTGCCTACAAGCCTATCCCTTGGTCAAAGAGTTGTATGGGGCATACATGCTAATCAAATTGTTTCTTAACCAAATCAAGTATCAAATGGAGTTCTATTCCTTAATCCAGTTTTATTGATGTAAGCATTATTTTTATCATGAAATGAAAGTAACATAAAAGTCCTACAAATTCTTACCATGTTCAATTTAAAAAATGGAAAAGCCAAATGGTTTGTGTATATACGAAGTAATTGATTAGAAACATTAGAAGTGAAAAACATAAAAGCCTCGTGCTGAAGGCTAGAGATCCTCTGTCCCAAAACCTATATATGTTCCTTTGTTTCAATTCACTCAAAGATGTTAGATCATGAGAGAATTTTGAAAAATAAAAACATTGAAGCATGATCAAATAATTGTGAGCGAGTTGAGACTGAAGCTTGAAAAAAATATTTTCTTTAACTTCTAAGATGAAATAATTCACCTATATGATTTTGCAATTGCAGCGGTTATATGCCACCAGAGTACGTAACGTATGGACAATTCTCAATTAAATCAGATGTTTTTAGCTTTGGAGTATTAGTTCTAGAAATCATAAGTGGACAGAAGAACAGTCATTTTCAAAAAGCGGAGAATGAGGAGAACCTTCTAACCTATGTAAGTATGAATAAGGATATATATATATACATACGTTATATAATTTTATATGAAAAATGATCCACAAACATAATTTTATATAAAATTTTATTTAGAATGATGTGGTGGTGACAATTTTTAAATTATTAGCGACAATGGTAAGTTTTTTAACTTGAAATGAAAAGACAATAGAAAACCACATTATTAAGTATAAAAATTAAGTGATTTTATCACTTTAAAGCAAAGGATCTAGACCCAATATAGGTAGAATGATGAGACAAGTTTAGATTTTATCACTTTAAAACAGAAGACTTTATCAAGATTGTTGAAAGATTATTAAGTTACTAATTGTCTTAAAAGCTTAAGTTATACAGTGACAACGTATGATGTGACAAGCTTTTCTTTTATCACTTGAAAGAAAAATACCTATCAAGATAACTTATATTTTAACTATCAATTTCATCTCTCTCTAAAACCTCTCTCTCTCTCTCTAAAAACCTCCACCCCCGGGCCTCACTTTTGGCTAGCCGGCCGCTGCCTTTGGCTATGGCGGTCGGCTGGTCCAGCTTCCTCTTCTGTTTGTGTGTTGTTTTTTCCATATAATAACTTGATTCCCACAATGTTTTCCCACTTAGGTGTGTTTCGGTGTTGTTGGTCCAGCTCCCTTTGGAGTTGTATGTTTTGTTTTCACCAGGGGGTGATTGGTATAGGGGTCAGAACAGAGTAGATGGTGGTCGGTTTTGGACCAGAATAGAGGTTGTTCTAATCTGGTAAGGAGTTTCATTCGGGCGCTCATGTGCGAGTGGGAGTTTGAGGGATGAATGTTGGTTCGGATCTATGGAGATGCTTCGATCCAGATCTAAGATCTAAGAGTCCAGATCTAGATCCAAATCTTTGATCCAGATCTAAGATTCCATTCAAGCACTCCTTTTCGAGTGGGTGTTTAAGGGGTGTACTTCATCCAGTTATATCCAGTGGGTGTGTTCAGAGTTTGGTTCGGAACAAAGGTGTCCGACCATGGATCTGGAGTTGGCAGTGGGTGTGTTCGTGTTTGGCGTTGGGTGTGTTCGACCATAGGTGTGGAGAAGTGGAGTTGGCAGCGGGTATTGGCGTGGAAGTGGGTCTCGGCGTTGGGTGTGTTCCGATGCATTGAGTGCTCGGCAGGTGTTCAGATGGATGGCGTGGTTGGTAGCAGCAGGTTGGCTAGCAGGGGAGCTGCCGTGGGTGTGAGAAAGAAGAAGATATTGGGGTTTGGATCTGCAGTGGGTTTGGGTTCTGCTATGGGTATGGGTGGCTCGGCTAGCAGTGTGAGTTAAAAAAGGTTGTTAGCATGGAGTTAAAAGATGGTTTCATAGGTTAGGAGCTTAGTGTACCAGTGTAGAGACGGACCATTGTGGAGGATGATGATGACGGCAGGAGCAAGGTGGTAGGTGAGTCCGCAAGGGGCAACAGCAAAGTGGAAGAAGGGGCCGATGATGGTGAGTCAGTAGAGGTAGGGGCTGATGATGGTGAGTCAGCAGAGGTGTGGGCTTTGGGTGGCGTGCGTGGATCTTGGCTGTTCAGCAGCATGGGAGAGCAGCAACATTGGGTGTTGTCTGTTTTGTTTAGTTTGGGTTCGGGTTGTGTGGGGGTTGATGTTGTGGGGAGTCTTTATTTTATTTTTATTTTTTTGTTTTATAGTAGTTAAGTTCTTAACTTTTTTGTTTGAAAAAAAAAAAAAAATTCGTGAGGCCAAAGGGTTGGTTGTATGGATGCGAGTAGCAATAGTAGGGGTATTCTGTACTTTCCGAATCTCTCTCGATGCATGTTATCTACCTGTACCTTTAATTTCATGCTGTTAATGAATTTTTTTTTTGCTGATCAAAAACAAAGATAACTTATATTTTCAAAAAACCACTGTCACATTATTGTTGTCATAAATTATGCATACAAGTTTTGTAACTATATCATTTTTCATATATATATATATATATATAGTAAATCATATTTTTTACCCTTCAACTTTCATTCTTGCAGACTTGGAAAAATTGGAAGGATGGAAGGGCCTCAAATGTGATAGACGCCACCATATTGAAGGCTAGTTCAAATTGTGTACAAGACATAATGAGATGCATTCACATTGGATTACTATGTGTTCAAGAAAATGTAGCAAATAGACCAACCATGGCTTCAGTTGTACTGATGCTTAGTAGCTTCTCTCTCACTCTCTCACTGCCGTCACAGCCAGCATTTTTCATGCAGAGCACCATTAATCCTCAGTCTGGTAGTTCCAATGTGAATGAGGCTTCCATTACCGAGTTATATCCCAGATGATTGTTTTTCAAAGTTGCGTATTGTTTTGGTGTAAACATAATGGCACTATTTTGGCTCATGTTGTTTGTTTTGGCTATGGAGCTTTTCATAATAAGGTTTGAACTTTTTTTATGAGTATCTTTTTTATTTTTTTATCAGCAAAGGAAAGAAATATTATTAAAATATAAGAAGAAGGTTACAAGAGCTTGGGGAAAATTGCATCATTGTCTACATAATACATTCCAACTATGTTGGCAGCCAACGCAAGACCAATCATGTGCACACCCAAGGATCACACAAATACAATGTTGGAAAGATTCCAATAAATTCAGCTAGCACGATCACCACCAATACAAACTCTAACCTGCCTAATATTGAATACAAAGTCATTAACAAAGAAATGAAGCTCCTTTAAGGAAGACTTGAGCCAATGACCCAATCAATTTTGATAAGCTCACACAGCTCCCAGATATCAGACTGCACTCCCTTGAACACGCATTCCTTTCGAAGCATCCAAATAGACCATAAGACTGCTAAAGGAATGGCTCTCAAAATTTTCCTTTCCAGCTTCTTGAAGCACCCTGCATCACACCAAAACAACAAACTCTCAACTGTCCCAGGTAAAACCCATTGAATTCCCCACCATGACAGCATGGCCGACCAAATTTTCCAACTAAATGGGCAGTGTAACAGAACATGAACCACTGATTCATTCTCAGCCTTGCAAAAACAGCAAAGAATAGAGGCATTGCTACTAAGCACTCCAATTCTCTGCAGAAAAACAGCAGTCTTCACTTTGTGTTTCCATGCCAACCAAGGTTTTAAAAAGTGGCTGCGGTTGCCGTAATGGTTGCGGTAACCCAGTAGTGGTTGTGGGGTGTAAAGGTCGTAGCGTAACGGTTATGGTAACCGGAACTGTGATTTTTTTATTTTTCGCACAATTTGAAAAAAACTTACCGATATGCATATTTTTTTTTTTTTTCAAAATCACATTTATTGGGATTTAAAATAAATTTTGATCAAATTTTGTTAATTTTTAAGTAAGATCCAATATATTTCATATTTTCAAATCACTATAAAATAAGCTTTTTACATTTTATTTTAATAGTTAATGATTTTAAGAATAACTGATTTTAAATGTTTATAAATTATTTTTTATCAATATTTGAACTAACTGAATAAAAAATATTCACAATTATTAAATGAAAAGATTATAAAATAAAATTTGTGCCATAAATTTATGAAAAAAAAAAAAAAAAAAAAAGAGTTTGGATCACTTGAATATCTTGAATATTTTTTTTTTTTTTTTAAGGTTTTTTTTTTTTTTTTTAAAAAAAAAAAAGCTATTCAGAATATTGTAAAAGGGTGTAACGGTATCTAACGGACTGTTACCGCTGTTATGTAACACCAAAACGGCCGTTACACATGTGAATTTTTATCATACCGCTATAGCGGCTGTAACGGGTAATGGTAACCACCACAACCAGTACGTAAACGGTTGTGGCCACTTTTTAAAACCTTGTAGCGAACCATCCAAAACCTTGAACTTTGGGGGGAATGGCCTATCAGCAAGCTCCAGCAGTATTGGAGACGCTGAAATTAAGAGGTTTGAAAGCCTTGTAACCTCCAAAGACATTCAAATAGATCTCTTCTGAAAATCATATGCAGCCTTATAACAAGCACAAGGATAGAAAGCAAGAAGCTAACTAACAACACTGTCATCAAACAAAAATCCTTGGGAAATCACATCAGGAAGCTATATTATTCCACTCTTGGATTTGATTATCCTAACCTCATGAATATAGAGCATCAAGTCAATGGTGGACAAGCAAGAGAATCCCGAATTTGTCTTTGTCCAAAAGGCCACTTGAAGCTTCACACCATCAATAAGTTTTTCCCAGCAGATTTGTTGCTAATTGAAAATAAGATTATTTCTAGCTTTCCATAGGTTCCAGCAAGCACTGAGAAAATTTTTACTTTGGATTGGATGGGGCCACATTCTTCCGAAGAAGTTTGCAATTGTCCTTATCACCACCTAGAGCAGATTCAAAGTGCTTGTAGAAAGATTTAACAGAGAAAATACTAAACTTGTCAATTTTCCACTGAAAACTATCACTACTCGCAGGTTGGGGGAGAAAATTGTTTAAAAGAAGGAGAAATTCCTGAAGCTTTTCATGCTCCCATACAAGTAGGTTCCTCTGGAAGAGAAGGTTCCAAGATGGGCCAATCATACGATTGCTGAAGAGAGGGAGAAAAGTCTTGGAAACAATATAGCAAGTGATCTGTTACTAGTCCAAGTATCAGACCAGAAGAGAAGATTTCTAAAGTCCTCATTGTTAGAGAAAATGCTAAGAATGCCTTTCCAAAGTCTAGAACAGTTAGAAGAGTACTGAAGGTCAGTTGGGAACCAACTATTGATCCTCAAATTATGGAGCTCCATTTTACAAGATGAAGTCTTCTTCTCTCATCATTCCCCCCCTTCCCAACAAAAATCTCCTTTGTAGCTTTTCTAACTCATTGCAAACAGATATTGAGGTTTGCTTATTGAGTTATTTATAGTTTACTAGTGACAATGTACATTGCACGTGGCATATAAGCTGATTTGCAAATTGTTAGCGTTTACTTGCCCGTTTAGAGCAAGAAATTAATTTTGAAATGATAATTCTGTTGGACAATCTTCACTGTATTTAAACCGATTTAATTCTGTTGTGTATCACAACGCGGCATAGAACGCGTTACCACTTTGACCCGAGTAAATCGACACTCGGGGCCCACCTAAAAAATAGACCGAACTTAGGAAAAAATTCTGGTTTTATCCAGAATTTTATAACCATTCCAACAAATTCTCCATTCAAAAATAACTTACAAAAAACCAAAAATAAAAAAAAAACTCCATGAAGAACAAATGGTTCATTAACAATTTCAATTTTTAATCTTTACAAAAATCTATCTTGTTTAATGTCAGAATTGAGATTTTAAGATTATTGCAAACTCCACCATGTAAAGTCATAACAATCATCGTTGTTGTAGCAAAGATATCCCTAATAAAATGTGGGAATACATTTGGCGACAATTTCTTATTCATCACAACTAATTGTGAATTACTGCCTATATTTGAATCTAGAAATACTTGGATTATTCATATAATATAATATATACACCAATCGAGTCACAAATTTACAAAATTACACATAAAAACGATGACGTATAATATCAAAAATCCATCCACATTGTCTAAAGATTTCCACTTCGTCAATCAACCCATTCTAAATTCCACGGAATATGTAACATCTGCATAGGGTGTAAATTTGGCCCAGCCTACCCGGACTCGGGCCCGGGCCGGCCCATGTTGAATCTCGCTAGCTCCCACCAAAATTCGGGTCGGCCCACAGGCCAAAATTTTAGGCCCAAACCCGGACTCGGGAGGTCTTCTGGCCTTGGGTAGGCCTACCGGTGGACCTAGGCCTAAGGCTTGAGCTCGGGCTTGGGCAAGGCTTAAACATTTTTTTTGTATTTTTTTCACCAAAAATTTATTTTTTTTCCACCAAAAATAACATTGGGTCTTGGACAGACTGGGTGTCGGGAAGGGTTTTGAGCGGGTCGATGAACCGGGCCCACTAGGCGGGCTTCAAAATGATGGCCCAAGCCTGGGCTGAGGATCCCATACTGGGCTAGGGCCCATGCCTAAGCCCAGGGTCCCAGGCTGGACTCGATGCCCACCCTGAGCCGCGGACAGGTTTTGGGCCGCCCACAGGTCGCGTGTCATTTTTACACTCCTACATTTGCACATATAGTAATCTAAGCTAGGATATAATGTGTCTGTTTGGTACAGCTTAAAAACTGCTTATTTCAGCTTTCAGCTTAATTTAAGCAATTTTGATGTGTTTGGTTTAGCTTAACAATGCAGATTATAACTTTTTATAAGTCAGAAATCAACTTATTCTTTGAGTGGGCCAGGAGATGCTTAATTTATAAGTCAGAAATTAGCTTATGTTCATAGTTATAAGCTATAAGCTGTTAAGGCATAAGCTATAAGTACTTTCCCACAGCTCTACCAAACAGAGCCAATATAAACATGATGAGATTAAACAAGAAAGAAACATCTGAACATATCTATTTATAAAAAATATGACTTAATGATATAATGAAATAAAACTTGACAAATACATTAATAATTTTTTGGTTTGTTATAATTGAAATTTATTGACCAAAAAGCCAAATCTATTAAAAAGTAAAATATTTTGTTTAGTTGCTAATAACTTAACAAATTCCGTTCACGTTGGAGATTAAATTGATCTAACATAAAAAAATACATTTTAAAAAAACTCATATAGTGTCTATACTAGACAATAAAACCAAAATCTCTGTAATCTTTAGAAAATATTGACTTTAGTTAGAACTGTTTAACCCTCCGTTGCACCTACAAAAATATTTTTAGGTGGCTTGTCTAATTGACATTTAGGGTTTTAATCATGGTGAGGCAACCGACCCATACGAAGGGAAAGAATGGAGAGGAAAGGCCATTAAGTAAGATGGATTTTTTATATATATTATTATTAGAAACCAGTGTAACACAATGAAAAATAAAATTACAAATTTGAACTTTTTCTCTAGAATTATCAATCTAGATTTTGGTGGGTTGATTGGAAACATGTTGGAAATTAGAATATATTGCTTCACGATGAATCCCTGTGAATTTTGGGCCAATTATTTCGTTAAAAGCATGATGTAAAATAATATTTTGTTATAAAATTCGGTGATATAAAACAATAAAAAAAAAATTATGAGGAGTAGCAATTTTATTTTTTTTTGCTATACTTTTGTTTTACACATCTTTAAAAGGTGAACTCGTCATGCAGCCAACATCATTCTAACAAATTCCTTGTAATCAATCAGACCATTACCATCCAAATCAGCATCTCTAATCATCTGCTCCACCTCTTCATCAGTCAGCCTCTCTCCTAAGTTAAACATTACATTTCTCAACTGCCAACAAAATGAGAAAAACATAATAATTAATAAGAAAATACAAAGTAGGTAAAATATGAAATAACTTTGCAAGTAAGTGAAAAGAGTTCAAAATAATTCCAAAAATATAAAGGTGCAAGTGGTCTTATGCTCTTACGCAAGTAAAATTTATTATCTTAACAAATGTTGGTCACCAAGGGAAGAGATCCTTTGCGGAGGTGGTGGACGGTACGAAAGCAGGATCGAACACAAACTGTATCATCAAAGCTTATGAGGAAGGCAATGGATGGTTACATGAAAATGTAATAGCAAGGCTAAAACCACTCCATGCTGTGGAAGATTTTAAGGCAAAACTAGTAAGAAGAGAGTTTAGGGAAATAACAGTAAGAGCTGGTGGTGGAAGACATCTGGTCTTAACATTCCAATCAAAGGAGATCATGGAGGAAAAACTTTTGATTGTGAAGAACTGGCTCAAGGAATGGTGTCACTCAGTCCTCGAATGGAACCAGGGGATGATACTTGACCAATAAAGGCATGTTTAGCTTAGCTACTATGGAGTTCCATTAAATTTGTGGAGCTGCAACACCTTCAACATTATTGGCAAGGTATGGGGCATAGTGACTCGTTTGGATGAGGATACTTGTAACCTAAACCATTTCCAACGTGGAAAAGTGAAGATTGCGACAAGATGTATGGAAACCATTAACCAAAACATCAACTTAGAATGCAGGGGTATTTTCCATCCAATTAGGGTATCTGAGAAACAAATTATTGTCATTAATGATATGAAGATGCATGGTCTTTGCAATTCATTTGAAGGGAACTATGATGGAAGTGGAAATGTTAATCTTGAGGAGGATGACAATCAGATTACAGACAAAGGGAGTAAGCATGAGAAAGGTGATGACCATGTAGGCATCCTTGAGGTGGACAAGAAATGATAGCACATGATTGCAGTAATGACATAGCAGAGGATGCTCTGCTCAGAGACACTTCGGTGGTAGCTGAATCAGTCATTCAAAATGTCATGTCAGAAGAAAACGGCTATGCATGCAAGGAAAGCTCATCAAGGCTGCTAGTAAGTTCCAAGATGAGAGACGTTGATGGAAGTGGAAGGGTCGATTGTGAAATTCAAACATCTAGCTTTATCAAAAGCTTTAGTGGAGCTGAAGATATGGGCCTAGGGATTAATTTAGTAGTGGCCCTGCAATCGGCCCATGAGTATAATGTATCAGTTGTGGCTTCAGCTATTGACCATTTGGTCCTTGGCCTAAGTAGGCTAGACAATCACATTGGGTTGGACCCTATGGATCTTTGTACCCCGCTACCACATACTGCACCAATTATCCCAAGTGTTGGAGATTTGGGTCATCTTCAACGATGAGGGTCACTAACTCAGCCCCAACTAGTTTGACTCCATTACACTCAAAGAGGAAAGCAATGAAAACTAAGCAGCAGCAGATAAAAAGTATTCAGAATGGATCTTCAAGATTTGGAAAACCACCATTAAACCTAAGAAAAGGAGCTATCTTCAGATCAGCAGTAGCTGCAATTTCACTCTCAATGGCAAGTAAGTCTAGCAGAGGAAAGCTTGTCCTGTTTGAAGCAAAAGTAACATTCGAAATAGGCAAAGCTCTCGGCATTGATTTTGAATGGAAGGATGAGGAAGTAATTAGCAAATTGAAGGAGCTTGAAGGCAATGATCTGGAGAAATTTAGAGCAAGGGCTGGGGATGCCAACTAGGTAAACACTGCCAGGGGACTAAGTGTGCAAACCTTGTCTACGTGAAGATACAGTCATGGAATATGAGAGGGATTAGCAGACCAGAGAAAAAGAGAAAGATTAAGAAAAGTATTTCAGAAAGAAAAGTAGATATCATCTTAATTCAAGAGACCAAGAAGTCTGAGGTCAACTTAGGTCTCATAAGATCCATTTGGCCTAGTGATCATTTTGAGTTCATGTCAGTTGATGTTGTTAGTAGAGCTAGGGGTTTATTGTGCATTTGGAATCCAAAGATCTTTCAACTTTCTACTTCCTGCTGCAATCACAATTTCTTGTTGCTGTCAGGTACATTATTCTATAGTTTTGATTGCGTCATTATTAATGTCTATGGTCCTAATGATGTGGCAAAAAGAAAAGAGCTATAAGATGGTTTAGTAAAGCTTAAACCCAGATTCCTAGGGCCTTGGTGTATGGGGGGGCCATTAACGAAATTAGGAATTTATCTGAGAAAGTTGGATGCTCCAGCAGAGATAGAGGCATGAGGGACTTTAACACTATGATAGAACAAATGGAATTAATAGACATACCTATACTTGGGAGGAAGTACACTTGGTGCAATTCTCAGGATAGAGAAAAAATGAGTATAATTGATAGATTCCTAGTTTATCATAAATGGCTGGAAAACTTTAATCGCAAACTCTGGGGTCTACCTAGGCAACTGTCAAATCATTGCCCCATTATTTTGATGGAGAATGATAGGGATTGGGGCCCTCGACCATTTAGATTTCTTAATGCTTGGATTTTACGTCCTAAGTTCCTCACTTTTGTGAAGCAAAGCTGGTCTGAAATTAATGTTCAAGGGTGGGCAGGTTATAAATGTCTCATGAAATTTAAAGCTCTGAAACAGTCATTAAAACAATGGAATGTAGAGGTGTTTGGGACGATTGAGTCCAGGCTTAAAAGTATTGAGAAGGAAGCTCATGGCCTTGATTTGTTAGCTGAGGAAAGACCTTTACTGGCCACAGAAATTAGTAGAAGAAAGGAAGTTAAGAGAGAAGCTTGGAGATTGAGTAAAATATTGGAATAGATCTGGTTGCAGAAATCTAGACTAAATTGGGCTCTCAAAGGTGATAGAAACACAAGATTTTTCCACATCATGGCTTGTAGCAGAAATAGTAAAAACACCTTGGGCTCACTGCTTGTTAATGGTTCAAGGATTGAGGAGCCAGTGGATGTGAGGGCTGCAGTCCCTAATGATCATTTTGTCAAGCTTTTCTCTGAATCTTGGGGTATCAGACCCAAACTATCTGACCCCTTTAAGAACAAGTTGTGGATCATCTACAGGGTGAATTCACTAAAGAGGAAATCAGGCATGTCATTATGAGCTGTGAGGGTAATAAAGCCCCTGGGAGATGGATTTAACTTGGCATTTTTTAAGAAATGTTGGAGTATTGTGAAATCTGATGTGCTTAATTTTATGAGTGAGTTTCACCGGAATGCATGTTTTGTTGTAGAATTAATAGCTCATTCATTACTTTGATTCCTAAATCCATTAGCCTTTTTTCCCTTAATGACTTTAGACCAATTAGTTTGATTGGTTCCTTATACAAAATTCATGCCAAGATGTTATCTAATAGATTGAAAATGGTTATGCCCATGATCATTGGTGAGGTGCAATCCGTTTTTTTAGGTGGAAAGAACATACTTGATGGGGTTTTGATTGCCAATGAGAGAGTTGATGAGTGGCGAAAATCGAAGAGTAAAGGTATAATTCTCAAATTAGATTTTGAAAAAGCGTTTGACTCAGTTAACTGGGAATTCTTATTTCCCATTGTGAGAACACGAATATAAAAATTTAGTAAATAATTAAATAATAATATTACAATCTCAAATATTTTGGTGGTGAATTCTAATTAATTTTTAAACCTAAAATAAATTTATGGTGAAAGTCTTTAATTTAGAGATAAGGTTTATTAAAAAAAAAAGAGAGAGAAGGGTGTGACTTGGTGCAAATTAAATATTATTGGAGGATCTTTTAATTAATTTTTAAACCTAAAATAAATTTATGGTGAAAGTCATTGATTGAGAAGCAAGATTTATTATTAAAAATAAAAAATAGAGAAGAGGGCGTGACTTGAACTCTAGACCATAAAATTAATAAGTTAGACTCCTACCATTTGAGTTGCATATAACTTATACATATTTTGAGTTGCATATAACTTATATATATGTTTTGTATATTTATCTATTTATTTGACCTTTGTGTGCCCACCACTAGTATAAAATAAAATAAACACAAACCCTACTCTATTATTTGTTCACCACATAGGGCAACAACACAGCAGCCACGGGAGAAGGTTTGAGAGAAGGAAAAAAAAGAAGAAGATGTTGCTATCAAAGAACTTTTGGGTGTGTTGTGTTGTGTGTGATCATCAAAGGTTAGCCCTCTTAGGTTTTCTTCTCTTCTTTCTTTGTTCTATCCTTATTCTATAATTATTTTAATTCATTGATGGAGGTTGTAGGTTTATATATTTTGTATATATATATACTTTTAAGAAATTTGAGGAGTTAAATTCATGTATAAAGATTGGGTATTATTCTTAGTTAAAAATTTTGCGCATAATCACGAACTTTAAAAATCAAGAAACCATATCAAACGGATGAATTTTAATCTGAAATTTTTACAGTAGATCAATTACACATTGAATTGCATATCTGAATTTTTTCATAATTTTTGGGAGTCGAAATCCATATAAATTGAGGTATTCAAATTTGCCCAGGAAACCAGTCCGAAACAGTAAATTCGGGATTGTTGTTCTCTTTGGGTATAAATCCAAAAATTATCAAATTAGTGTCATTAGAACCGGTTACGAGACTAGTTTCGTATGTTTTTGGCCTTGCATTGATTGCTCGTGTATATTAAGAGAACCGTCAATTTCTTTAAAGTGCTGCAGAAAACAACCTGTTTGGATATAATAAATTGTAGATAATTATTTTGATAAGAAAATCAAGTGAAACCAATTGGGTTCGAAACTTAGGATATATTAGTTGATATCTGGAGGTTTTTGGAATTTTTCGAATAGCGTAGAGTGGGTTTTGTAATTTTCAAAGTTAGCGAATAGATTGGGAAAACTTGTTTAAAACACTATTTTATCTTAAAGTCACAATTAATTACGTTATGACCGGAACCCATGTCTTGGGTGATTTTAAGAGCAATGGTAGAGGGCTCAAATTCTGTGGCTCAAATGTGGCTCAAATAGCTAAAACGACGTCGTTTTGAGTACAAAACAACATCA